AACTCTCGACCAATGAGAGCGGAGGAAAATTTGTTGTTGAATTACAAAGCATTATATTCAAAAGTCTATATCCCACATAATCTAGAGCCTCATTTCCCTTATTTTTCATAGCTGAATAATTCAGGACAAGGATTATATGATATGTCCAAGGCCATTGGTAGATGGGCTCGTCGTGATAACCCTGTTTCGGACAGGGATCCCAAGCATTATGACGTTATTGCTCTTATGAGGTACGGGCATATTGAAAACTTCTGAATCCATGATTCTTCAGTTTTCTGACACGTGTAATTGCTTTTTGTCAACAGGAAGACTCGAGGTGGAGGTAAATTCACTAAATATGTTGAGTATGATGTTATAATAAGCTTAATTCGCTTTAAAAAAATACCATTTATAAGAGCTTATAACCGAACTAAAAATGTCCTTGATACGGTACATTGTTTGTGGCTTCTATTCTGCAGGTCTTGCGTCGTTTAACAATATTTGCAGTAGAATTGTAACCTCTGTGTTTAGTGACAACGGGATCGGATCATGGACCACGCTTGCACACGAAATTGGACATAAGTGAGTCACTGGCACAACGTTCATAGCTCATTATAGATACTAAGGGCGGATTCAGGGGAGGAAAAAAGGGGGGAATCACCCCTATCTTTCTCACTTACAGTCCGTTGCTCTAAGATTCTTCTTGTAATGCTAAAAGAATTTTCCTCTTTCTAAATTCTTCAAAGACGATAATGAAAAAATTCAAATAAATTAAACCGTCCATAATTTTTTATTGCGCTTTTTAAACACACYTCACATTACTTATATCTCGAATCTGAAAAATTCACGCTCGGAAAAATATTGTTAGTGTTTTAAAAATATATTTGGATCAATTAATTCTCCCAATCTGAAAAATTTCTAAGTCCGCCCCTGAGATACATTACTAATAAGTGTTAATAATATCTCTGWATGTAGTCTTGGTGTTGATCATGACCCAAACTATGGATGTGCAGATGGGGTTAATATAATGACAACAACAATAGCTCCTGGAGTGGGATGGTCCAACTGTAGCAGAAATAAGTTTACCCAATTGTTCAAGTAAGTAGAATGGATCGGTCAAACAATTTGGCTAAAAATCTTATTGTTGGGGGTAGATAAGTTTTTGAATTGCTGACTCGATCAATTTTCGCAAAGAGTCATGTTGTTCTTTTAAGTTAAAACTTGTACTCAGTCTTCTTATGGGACATTAAAGCTAGCAATATCGCTAATTTTTAGTTTATTACCGAGCATGTACTTTCTATTTATTCGATATGTCATTTAACGCCGACCAAATTTTACGTTTCAGACAAAATAGATACAATTGTCTCAAGGACGCACCCCAAGCGAGTCCACTCCCAACTATCTCAACGTCACGTCAAGGGAAGCTACCTGGTGCCATTTTTGATTTGAAACGTCAATGCCAAATGTGGTACAGCCCCATTGGAATACCATGTTGGTGGAGGGATTATAAAGTAGGATTTAGTAATGCTTATGTACAACGTATATACAAATATCTTTCTTGTTTGATTATCAGTGCTATAATTAGTTGGCGTGCCGTACCGATGATTATCATTTTCATCATTACTTTTATCTGTTTTTTAAAGGACTGTGTGTTGCATTGTTCTACAACAAAAAGTCCAAACTCTTGTGAAAGCATGTTTTTGGCTCTTCTTGATGGTACTCGATGCGGAGTTAGAAATGTAAGGATAAATAGATTGATGCCAAACACTCGCRACTAAATTATAGTCGGTTATCAGATAGTCAGAGCCCAGTCAGAGTCAGTTTTGAACTGATCTGCATTAGTCATTTAACGATGAACATTCTAATTCTTAGTTCTGGAACTGGTGTTTTACGTAGAGAAAATCAGTCAGTCATCAGAAAGTCCGTCACTCAGAGTTAGTCATTCAGACACTCAGACAGTAGATCAATGAGTTAGTAAAATAGTCAGTAGCCAGTCAGTAAATATATGTTATTTGGCTACTCAGTCTCATTCAATTGTCCTGATCACGATCTGTTATTTGTTTATTTAATTCTTTCAGACAAAACGATAGTTTACATTATTCAATTGTTATTATTTTTACAGTGGTGTATCAAATCAAAATGTGTTGACGATGGCTCACCCTTGATTCATGGCGGCTGGAGTGAATGGTCAGGTTTCAGTGCGTGTACAACATCATGTGGAGGAGGAATAAAGTACAGAGAAAGAACTTGCACTAACCCAACGTAAGAATCAAATTTCTATTCATACTGMATAAAACAATGGACGGGAAAAAGGGATAGATGGATGCACTGGGATGGGCGGGAGGACATGTGATCTAACAGATTGATAAATGAATGGATGGATGCATGGGAAAAGGGATAAAACAGCAGATTACCACTTCCCCTATACTACTCGTAATTGTATTGATCATCAGTTGTATGATTTACAGACCCCAGAATGGTGGCGATAAATGCAAAGGCTCGTCAAGAGATTCTGTTGAAGTCTGCAACACTCAGGTAAATATGATTGATTGACCTTTTGATTTCATGCAGATGATAAATTATTCCAAATCCGTTCAGAGACGACTTAATTCAGTTATTCCCACTGACTCTCATGACTGTCTTTGTACAAGAGTTCAGAGAGAGAGTTCAAAAGTTCCTTCTACAAACACGGTGCAAGATGCAGAGAATTCGAGAAATAATAAAAATATTTTCTCGTCCCTACGTTTGGTTCTCCAGTGCTCTCCTATCTGCAGTGTTTATATCAGAGGAGAGGCACACGTGGTATTTTTCTATTTTTGAATATAATATCAATCCTGGATGCAAATTCATCATGTTCACCTGCAGTGTTTATTTGTTTTACAGCCYTGCCCTCCTCCGCAGCTTAGACACAAACTGTGTAAAGAAAGGAAAGGAGATGAGTTTTCCTGGTATCGCTATGGAAGTAAGTACTTCACAGAATGATTTAATGATACGTGATGTACGCGAGTGAAAACGAACATGGCTAATAGTATGTAACAAGGACGATCCTGGTTTTCTTAAAGTTCATTTAGTGAACAGGGTGAAGGACTGTTTGTAACCTCCACGATTTCATTCAGATCCATGTAGTCTCTATTGTCGTCGTGGACATCTCCTTTATGGAAGCGGAGGAGTACCGGATGGTACTCCATGTCATCCGGGCAGCGGTAAAGATGATGTWTGCATGATCGGAAAGTGCACGGTATGGATTAGATAGCAAAGGGTCGTTGGATAGCAAAATAGTTTATGTCCACTATAGCTAATGGATTCCCTCAGCCTAAGTTTGTGAATTGCGATTCAAGAACTAAATCCTTTCAAAGCTTTTCTTGTATATGTTTGCCCATACAGAGAGTAGCATGCATGGGAAATATAGTGATGAGAATATAATACTGGCAATATAATAGCACTATAACATTGGCCCCTGATGGTCAGRACTTTTTTCTCATGAACAATTTCAAACACAATTCTTCCTCTATCTAAAGAACATAATTTTCCTTAACTCACTCAAAACACACAGTAATTTCAGTAGTTGTGAGAAGTTGATAAAATTGAAACGAATATATTTTTGACTTCAACGATCTATTTTCCCTGTTTTTTTCAAAGCCTGTTGGGTGTGACCGRAAGGTTGGGTCATCAGCTAAACTTGATAAATGCGGTGTTTGCAAAGGTGACGGGACGTCGTGTTCATATGAACGAATTAGTGGTTCTTACACAAAACAACATTCTCTAAAAGGTACATTTTAAACCTTATATATATCACATCTTACATTATTTTATAGTTAAATGTTGTGGAAGAATACGATTTGAAATGACCCTAGCTGRGCAATTACGCATGCGCCCCAGATGTGTACGCACACAACTTGATGGATAATATGTTTGTCGGAAATAATAATTCCTACCAAGGAATGTCGTCTTTAACTTTCATGTGATATTATTGCTGGATCGATCCATGATCCAAGTTGATAAACAGTAGAATATGAACAGTCTAGTTAAATGGTCCGCCAGCATTCAATGCGGTCGTGTTTTAGATTTTTCATATATGGAAAATGAAGTGACTTCGAATATCCATTCGTACTCCGTTTCCACCCATCGAATCTTACAGTATTTCCATTCATATTAGTATAAAGGGATAATAAAGAGTAATTTTTTGCTTATATTACGATGTATTTTTATTTTCAAACATGAGCAAATGCTGGTGGACCATGTCCATTTAATTTATATTTCTCAGTACTGTTTTTCAGGATTATTATCATTGCATAATATATCATCTTGAATATTATTTAGAAATTGACTAAGCTACTAGTCGATGAGCGTACTTTTAAGAACATGATTTGTAAAAAATATCTCTGTAATACAAGATTGAAACAAGTGATTTATTGTTCAAACTTCAGGAATGAAAAATGCGGACCTRATCGTTGAGATACCATCAGGATCAGTGAACGTTACCATCAAAGAAAGAGCAAAGACTAAAAACCTGATTGGTAAGCAGAAAACCAATTGAAAATAAAACTCCGAGGATGACTCCGAGCAATAAACTCTGAAATAAACGATTTCCTTTCTTTTAGGGGTAAAATAATTGAGACCACGCCCTTTTAAAAGACATTCGGTATCTATCGAAGTCTAATAACCTTGGAGTAGTTCCCTGGAGGAAAAAATATAATATTTATCTTTCAATATTTTGTGAGTCTTAAGTCAAATAAGAATTTGCATCCAAGGAACCTGTGTGATTCCGTTTTAATTCCAGTCTGTCAAAGACTGCTTCCAGAAACGATATAACACTTGCTTTCATGTTACATGCGAAACATATATTCCACCGCGCAGCATGATATCAATAACTACAAGAAATGATCTGTTTTTATATTCAGGTTTGACACGAWTGGACGGAGCCTTCCTTTATAATGTTCCAACAAGGCTAAAAACAATAAAAGAGGCCGGGACTAGTATAACGATAAGAGGGTCTAGGGGAAGGAATATTGACAACATATCCATTCCTGGACCAACCACTACACCACTTAAAGCTGTGGTAAGATCAGAGAATATTTGCTGGTTTTTGAAAAATACCATAACTGTTGAGGAYAAAATAATCAATAATCTCTCATTACTTTATTTGAATAGATGTCTTGATACGTAAATCGTTTTGTTGCCAAAGCTGCTGTTGCAAAAACAATATTCTGGCATTCAAATAACTGGAAATACAACACTGATATCTATAAAGTTACTGTTTTTATTGACTAAAACATTTTGTTAAATTTACAACYTTTTGAATTTCTAGTTTGTGTACATCAAGGGTAAAAATGCAGGCATAGATTTTGTGTTCTGGACGAAGAAGATACTGGCGTGATAACAATGAGTGAAACACAGGTAACCCATGCAATACATATAGTAAGTAATTTCAATTTTGTAATTTCTATCGAAAATATAATTAGCAATTACTAATATCAATCATTCACATTCTTTTTTATTTCAGAAAGAAATAGTAATCTGAATATTGTTCAATTTCCATTAGAAATGGTTATTTCATGAATAAACGCCGATTGCACCTAAACGCTACCGAAACGTCTTTGCATAGAACAATGTAGTATTATGTTACAGAGTAATATTGCAATACTGAATATAATTAATGCTATTTGCGTTACATTGTTGCATAATCTATAAGGACAGTACTCACACTATAGGCACCTCAGTAACTGATCCGAAAAAGATCATTATGTAATAAATAACAGTTCCAGATTGTGCTGAATTTCAATTAGCCGCTATTTTGACACTAAAGTTTAAAATGAATTATGGGATGCTCTGAGAGGTCGGTTACGGGAGAATGTGTCCAACTATGTAGATGCATTCTAGTTATATGGATAGATCAAATGACGTAAGTAGACTGGAATTAGTATCTTCAGTTATTCAATTCATATTTTTAACTAAAATTTTACTCGTTTGTTAAAGATATGTTCACCGAACATAGACATGTCCCTGCTTGCCTGAGATATGTTCACCGAACATAGATATGTCCCTGCTTGCCTGAGATATGTTCACCGAACATAGACATGTCCCTGCTTGCCTGAGAAGATCCCATTGTGACCGCAGTATCTGTATAAAACCCTGTGATCTGTTGAATGAAACGTATTAAAAAGGTTAAATCCTTAAANATGCACAATACACGCTTATATGAAAATTAATACTCACCAAACTTGTCCATATCACAATACACGGCCTTCTTGAAATCATTCACTTGAAGTTCATAAACCCCACTAGGCGTGGATGGCTTCATGTCTTTTAATTGTGCACATGACACATATTGTTGAGGCTTAAAGACAGCATAATTTTATAACAATATAAGCAGACATAGAAACATTGCAAGTATTACATTAAATTAAATTAACAAATTGATAAGTACAGTAGTATCAACGATCCCTCTATTAATCTGCCACAATAAAAAGTCTCAATATTTTATTTTGACAGTGCCAGCGTTCAGAGGACACTTTAGGAAGTCATCAGGGCAAACACTAAATAAGCTATTTGACGATATAATCGAATTGAAATCTTTCCTTTCTTTCTTTTCCCCATTTCTTTCATATTTTCATATTGAAGTCTCTTTTAATCATTCTTTGAYTTGACTATGTGCAATGAATATGATGTTTTTCCTTCCTTTTTTCCCTCTTTTCTCTCTACACTGCTTCATTGCAAGTCATTGCCTTACCTTAATTTCCTGGATTAGAGGTAGGTACACGTACCCAGTCCTCTCCTCCAGTTTCCTGGGATGCTMAAAGTGGTTTTTACTGTTCAACTCACAAATGCCAACAATTAACTTATAATTCGCACTGATACATCCAGGCGTCTTTCTGCACCACTCAAAACACGCCTTTAAGTCAGCTGTCTTCTTTTCTAGGAAAACACTATCATGAAAACGATAGGACAYCATGGATGATGCGCGTGCGCACTGGGCAGTGGCAGCTGCTCTWTGTGATACAAGCAGAAGAAACAATAGGGCCACCATCAAGAAGGTTTAAAATGGACCCTGAATAAGAAATTATATCTGTAATTAAACCTAGCTTAATATAATCAATGATTGACAGTGATAACAATATAAAAATAAAGTGAAAATGAATACAAATTGAAGGGATATTAAAAATCGTCTTCTACTTCAATAGTAAAATTTCGAACGTATTTGAAGCCGAGACAGAAACTTTACAAACAGAGGGAGAAAAAGTATAAAAAATTAACAACAGGAATGAATAGTTGAATAATACGTAACTATGACGCATCTTATCAAAATGATATCCCCCAAAAAAAGAAAGTAATATTTCCAAATTTTGAAGCTTTATTAGAAAAAAAGCATTTCTGCCAAAGTCAGTTGTTGTTTCGTGATTTCTAATTCACAATAGTTTTATGCCCGATCAATGATAAATTGATATATCCTCTGAATAGTCAAAAAAATGTCTTTTCGACTTAGTTTTAAGTTGACTCATGTCTATCGATAATACACTGAAACTCAAGTTTCGAATTCTCTTTTTAGCTCACGCCTTGGGTACTCTGTTGAAATAATACAGGAATAATACTACGTTTTCCACAATGCGGCTGAGTAACTGCGAGTTAATTAAAAAAAAAACATAATTAATGACTCATCTTGGACTTATCTCGTTTCTAGCAATCCCGCATAATATATTGCGTGTTTTTTATAAAGGTTTTCAAAGGTTTTCAACACTATAGAATATAGAAACTACTATACCTTTATGCCTTTTGGTGAAACAATTCTTATCAACTGGTTATTAGCGAATGTGGCGAATTTTTACCGATGCACGTCACACTGCGAAGGAACAATCTGTATAATACTTCAATCACTTGGTAATGTATTTTAAAAAACACGAAAGTTTTTATGAAATATATCGGTAAAAATTACCGTCAAAAGCAAGATTACTTTTTACTCTTTCCCCCGCCTTTCACTTTGAAAAATTGAGTAAACATTTTAACCAATCTATAATCATGTAAGTAATCAATTTGAATCATTYTAATTATACACGGTAGTATTCATCAAATAAAAAAATCATTAAAAATTAATTGTTGTATTAACGTTTAGAAGCATTATATATCACTGAATGTAAGAAAGGCATAGCTTACTAAGTTCTGATTGGTGCCGCAGTTTGTTTTTCGGTCAATTCAAGGTGGGTGTCCCGGATATTTTCACTTTGTTGCCGTCAAGTTTTTTCTTTACTTGAGGTAATATTAGGTAATATTTAGAATCATGGGAACCAGATGCAAAAAAGGAATATTTGTTGTCCTGTCTTTAAGACTGTTTTGCTTGGGAATAGAGCTCTTTACGCCATGCATCATATAAGCAATACATTGTGTTTTGGACAAAACATGGCGGATTTCTTTTGTTGTTTTTTCMTCTTCTAGAAACTGATCCCACAATGCATTYAAAATCAAGTAGTGACGTAAAAGGTTCAGAAGTCCATTTCAAAACACCGACGTGCCTTGCACGATGGACTATTAGATTAATTGCAGGCAAATGTAATTYAAACAGAATTAAAGTACCACGGTCCACCGACATTCAGTGCAATCTTGTTTTAGATTTTATAAATGAGGTAACTTGACTGAATATTCGATTCCATTCCTGGGTTTTAATCTAACGAAATCTGCAAAAGCAACCGCAAGAAATCATTMTTTTCAAGTTMAACTCTCTTACAAACACGGTTGAAATGAAAGTTGTAAATAAAAAAMAAAAAAACGCAGACGTTGAAGAAGCTTTGAATTTTGCGTGTAAGGAATGTATCATTTTTAGATTTTGTATATATGGAAATGAGGTAACTTCAAATATTCGATATCTGCTTTTATCCCTGGATTTAATTTAAGGTCGAATTAATCTTGCAATATCTCAACGGAATCAACAGAAGCAACCATCATGAAACATGAAATTGAACCTCTCTTAGCAAACGCGGTTGAAATGAAAGTTGTAAAAAAAACACTGCAGTCGTTGTAAACGCTTTGGTTTTTGATTATAAGGAATACCTTCATTTATGGATGACGGCTAACTTATTCTAACTGCGAATAAGAAATAGCATCCTACCCAGGCAACTCTCTGTTGCTTCTTTGGGCTTCCTTTGTAATGGTCGTGTTGACCGTTAGGGACACTCTTTTGACTATGTTTTGAATCTTAGTGATGGCTGTAGAGGAGCCTATCTTTCTAAGAAACCTTTTATCTACCATTTCCAATAATTGCATTAAATATTCAACTTTCAAAGTAGACACTTTTATTTTCAAAGGCTTTACTGGTCATTCCAAATGAAATGTGTTTACACCGATTTTCGCGGAATAGAACATTATGAACTTAGTAATTAACTGTTTTTTAATCCTTTGATTCTTAATTCCTTTGATGATTTTAGTCTTTTGCAGGATTTCACCTGTCGAGAAAAGAATTGAAAGGAACATTTACAATGACTGTATAAGTAGGTGTTGGTATGGTAACGCACATAATTATACTTAAGCAAATTCCTATCACAGATAGATCTCGGGCAAGAACAAGTGATCCCCTTCTGTGAGGCATTTCTCAACCCCAAACAGCACCCCAATCTCTGTACAAGAATGTTTCCATATATTGTTTTCTTACTTCTAGTCAAATTTGTAGACAGAGAGTTGCCAAGTGTACCCTATACCTTCCCAGCAATCGTTTTTGGAACCATACTTGTTGTAATCATTTGCAGCAGTTAGGTCATTTGCTGAGTAGCATTCGCCGTAGAATTCGATTCCAAAGTACTTATAGGACTTGTCACGTGCTATCTTAGCGCACTGGTCGACGGTCCTGTTTGGGAAATGCCAATTGATTTGAGAACGCATGTACGCGTATAACATAGGAAGAGCCCGAATATTGTCTTTATCTGCATAGCATCCCAGAGATGTATATGATGGCAGGGGTTCTGAAAAGCAAAACGAGGTATTATTATTGTGATAACTGAACAMGTTCTTATTAAAAAATTGAAGCAAAACATTGTCGATGACATAAAAGTTTTAGAGCTTCGACCCGCTCAAATTCAGCCCTTTCACGTGTGCCTGTTCCTTCCTGATGTCAATCGGTGAAGAGTGTAAATTGTACCATTCACTAGTTATAACAGCCTAGCGTAGTCAACATTTAAGATGGGCATTATTCACTTACCAAATGTGTAAACAAAAAAATGCCCAGCTCTTCCAACACCATCTGCGCATTTTTCTTTTTTCACTCCATAAGATTTAGCTGTTGGATAAATTGCTTTGGTGTTTGGCCCAGAGTAACATATTCCGTTATTTCCAAGTGCAAAATACATGTAGCCTTTATTGTAAGACAGAGAAGCACATTGATCGACAACATCTTTGGTATTGTCCCAGCTGATGGTGGTGGTAAAATCACCAAGGTTTTCCTCCAGTGGAATTGGATCAGCTTTGAAACAAGCAATGCCAAACCTTTTATGATGTGGACAGGGCTGTGCGTTGCATTTTTGCTTCGTCGCTTCATTGCAATACTGATGTCCAACTATAGTATTATCATCTGTACGATAACACTGGATTGTACGAGTCTGAGTACCTAAAAACATAACAGTATGAAGTTAGAGAATTAAAGGACACAAACCATGATTGTACCGAGATGTTTATTAACGATATTATGAACTTGTACGAAGTATTTAAGAATCATCTGTAATACTCAATTATGGATCATCCAACAACCGCATATCTCTGCCTTTTTCATCGACAGGTATATTCTTAACTGTACCTACCACCTCCACATGACCGTGAACAGCTTGTCCATTCTGAGATCCTCGATGCAAAGCTTGCAGGTATTTGTTTGACATCGGATGGTACGTAGTATTTATAGTCGACTCCTTGGTTCCTCTCATAAACAAAATAGAACTGTCGAAAATATTGGAGTCAGTAAATCGCAAAAAGGTTGTGGATTGAGTATAAGGATGATTAAATACCAATTCTTACCTTAATTAGAAGTTCTTGATTAGTTGGCGGCCCAACTATATCGATTTTGTCATRATATCTATTATCCTCATGAGTGTAAGTTATCTTTGCACCCGCCTTGTAGACCGTTTTGGTCCAGGTTGGCTGTGGAATCAATTCCTTCCCTTTTGRATCTTCTGTACCTAATTMCGGAAGAGAGAAACAGATTAAGGGACGTCATCATAATTCGCACATTCCTTGACTTACTACAATCGGTGAATTAGCTTTTCACGGCTAGTTTATTGGAATATAGTGAGGCTATATTTGGGGGTCTCGTATATGTTTGCAATCATAGTCCAGGAGAATTCGAAAGTGTAATCCCGTGGGAATTTTGTGATGAAATCAAACCACTAGGCTAGATGTCTTAAGGTGTCCCCAAGGAACATGAAAAACTTTGGTGGCAACTTTGCAGCCCGACAGGTACCGAGTTAGGGGGGTTTAAAGCTGCCCYGGTCAGATTCAGCATGAAGACGAGGCTGCAATACAAAACCTGTAATAGCTTCACCATTTTAGTCACAAATAGGATGAAGCTCACTCAAATTAATCCACTTGATAAGCTTGATAAGGCAATATAGTTGTTTTGGTGGTTAGATCACGTGATCAAGATTACATAAAAACGAGGCTCGAACACAAAACCTCTTATAACTTCATCATTGTTCGGCAAATAGGTCAAAACTCAAACAAATTAAATCGCTTTATATGCTTGATGTTTTGAAGTAGTTGTAGCAGTTAGATCACGTGATCATACTAACATGAAAGCGAGGCTTATATTGAATGTTAGATAATTTCAAGTTGCTTCCCCAAAGTCATATTGAGTCATTTTTATAAACTAGTTATTTGCGATGACATGAAAAACGATCAAAGTTGCCACCAAAGTTTTTCCTTGGGGACCCCTTAAGATATCTAGCCTAATGGCTTGCTTTCATCACAAAATTCCTTATGGGATTTGATTTTATATGGCAATTGCTCCTGTACTTATCAGAAAATCCTCCTGAAAATTGATTTAACGCATTATAATCCGTGAAATATATCGTATACTAACGTCCTCCTTGTTCTATTTTGTGCAATTTAGTGAACGCGGCGAAAAATATAATTGTTATTTAAATAGTGTTAAAACGTGTGTTATTTTGATTTTGTACAATTTCACGGACTAAATGCGCTGACCATTCCATCCTTTACCTATTTGGTTATATTCCATCTTCCGTTGCTGAAAGTGGGCATTTGTGGTTCCTGCAGGCAATACTGCCATTGTGTCTCCATTCTCATATCCTTTAAAGCAATATCAAACAATACAAGGCTTAGATATTTCACAGTTAAACTTTCATTTGGTATCTGTATCAACAATTATACCAATTATTCGCCAAAGAAAATTTGATTATCGATGACTATTTGTCCAGACGGTGTCTCATTTAAACTTTTGGAGGGATTCATTCATAACTCAGTGCCAAAACAAATGCAGGAGAATCCCTCCAAAAGTTTAATTAATGAGACTTCTCAGTGAATACATTCACCGATAATCACTTCGCCTRTCGCGATAATTGTTAATTAAATTAATCTAAAAAAAGTACAAACTAGCATATTTTTGCCTTGATTCCATWCCCCCACCAATCCATTTACTTGTCGGTCTCATGATAGGATTGATTTGGGTTCAAATCAGAATGCATAATAATTAACACATTGTATTGTACTGATCCTCACCATATCCTGTGTGATCTTTGGTGTATAGTCCTTGGACTAGTTTACATGTAGAGCCATCACCATCACACTGACCACATCGGTCAAACACTGCATTAGAGTCCAGTATGTTATCACAGCCAACCGTCTGAAATTGTATTTAGGGATTTAGGGACGGTCCATTTAACTTTGGATGGATGATTTTAACTTTGGTGGATGATTTCTTGTGAGGAAGATTTTTTTTTTCTTCGTGGCTTTTGGGTAGGATATGTATTTTTTCTCTTGGTGTTGTCTAGGACTTTTTTCTTCTTGTATGTAACATTTTGGGGGGGCTTAGGGTGGTGCAAGATTTTTTTAGGTCCATATGTTGTGCACGATTTTTATTTTTGGTGGAGATGGCTTGCAGGTTTTTTTTTTCAAAATCATCCACCAAACCCACGTCAAACCCACGTCACGCCTAATGAACACGTCCATAATTGAATAAATCTTACCCGGCATGCACCTGATATACAGATGTCATTATTGAATAAGTCGTCACTACATCTTGTCCCATCTTTGACGTTTCCATAAATGTTGACATTGTTGCTGTACCTGCATATCAACTTGCAGGCACTGTCTGCATATTAAATCCAATTATTATCAGAAAATGAATAAAGGTATTTAATACATGAGTGTTAGAGTGTAAAATAGAAGGGCAAGGGGGCTGTCAAAATAATAGTGATAACTCGACTAAGCGTGCCAACTTCTATTTCCAAGTCTCCTATGTTCCACAAACTAACCTGGAGTCGACATGAAGTATTCTTCGGAACCAGCCTTTTTAGCTGCACACTGTTCGCTGCGGAATGAACTGCCACCTTCTGGACAGTCCTGCAATGAAAATGGTTATGCCGTAAATTACAATTGGAAATCATCACCCTAATAAGAAACGCCTGCACGATTTAACGTAAACTGGTCACTGAACGTCGCATGGATTTATAGTAAGTCGGCAGAATTCATCGTCACCCCAACAGAGTGTTAGGAGGAACGTGCGTTTAGAGTGCTGGTCACGTGAGTGCACCAAAGGATGACATGAGAGAGAATCACGTAGACGCGTCCATGGGCTGATAATCGAGATCTTCTAGTCTGATTCTAACAGTGAAATATTCTATTTAACCTCATTTTAAAAGTGCGGGTGTTTTAAAATACCTGTGTATTACATATTTTCCAATGTCCTTTTTGATCTGTCTGTTTTGCGTCAACTTGACCTTCACAAAGATTACCGCCATTCTTTGGACTAAAGATGAAGCAATCAAAGCGTGAATTACAGTAACTTAAAAGTTATGAGAACAAAACTAAGCTCAATAGCACAAAGATACATATAGCATAATGTTAAAGAAAACGAATTAGAAGCAAACGAACTCACGCAGGACTATTGCAGGTCCTCGTCCTGTATTGCACACCACCGCCACAGGATGGACTACACTGAGAGAATTCAGACCAGGTAGACCAACCTCCATGGACAATCTACCATGATAAGATGGACATATATAAGGTGTATGTTTATCAGTTATATACTGCCGATGTATGTGGTGTAAAGTGCAACAAGCCTTGAAATAGTTACTGCAGTAATGACTATTAATACTACCGCAACGATACAAAACTAGAATGCTTATAACGCCCATGCCTACACTAGTGAACGCAAGCACACGGATTTTTACTTCTGCTTTACACTGGAAAACATCGCGCGCTTTAAAGGTTGTAAATTTGATGTAAATATGATGTAAGTGTCCAAAATTCTGTAAATTCGATGTAAATGATTTCCATTAAATTTACAGAATTTTGGACACTTACATCATATTTACATCAAATTTACAACCTTTAAAGCGCGAAATTTTTTCCACTGTTTGACGGACGAGTAGGGTAACATCCTCGTTTATGTTGCGCGCAAATCACTCCTTGAATCAGTCCTTCCTAAAAGTATTAAGTTATATTAAAATCCGCTTAAGTCGTCAGCCAATTCTTGRTGTTTATATCACATCACCATTGATTTTCATGAGAAAAGGACAATGATGCTAACACCATGTTGGATAAATAAACAAGAGAACATAATTTCTGGAGAATCAAATTCATTCAACATGGCGGCTATGAAGTGAAAGTGGAAATGACAATGCAAATTTATCCTGGTATGCATTACAGGAAGCCTATGATTTGAAATATTTGCCGCACTTCTGTAATATATTCCCGTCAAGCTGTGTCATACCTCAACATTGCTGCTTCCACTGAAGACACCTAACACACACGAGAGCAGATAATAAATAATGTTATAATAAAATGTAATTGAAGCAGTGCAAATTCTTCTTTTTGTGGTTGTTGTGAGTTGTGCACGACGAAATTCTTACGATATAGTTATTATTAATAATGGTATTTACAATTAACTTTGTAAAAAATGCGGGATCGCACTTAAACCGTYCAACTGTACAAAATCTAAGTAGTACTAATTTGTGGACTAAAGTGGACCTGAAGCAAGACGGTATTGAATGCTTCATTTAATTTATATCAATTTAATTTAATTTGGGTACCACATGCAGGACTATTATCTAAATACAACTAAATAGCATTATTTTGTATGTATAGTTGCACGGTTTAAGTGCGATCACTCTATTTAGAATGTTTATATTATGGTCGAATAAAATTTTGCAATTTAATTGGCTTAGAGGAGCGGTATTTAACCTTAAAAATGGTATTTTAAATTACACAATTTTATTAAACCATATTATAAACAAATAATAGCATGTTTTGTTTGTGGAATTTGGGATAAATACCACTTGTATGATATTTCAAAATTGTGAAATTATTTTTGGCAATTTTGAAATATCACGCGTGGTATTTACCCGGGGGGAAGACTCCCTAATATCAAAGGGCGGCGGTCCTCGGCGTCCCTTTTAGGGTTTGAAATCGGTATTTTGGTCCCGCTTAGGGTGATCATGACAAGAATTCCTACCAACTGAGTTTTGTGGTCCCTTTTAGGGTATACGGCGACCCTAAGCAGTCATAAAATGGGAACGTCGTCATAAACTCAATACGAGCCGACGGTGTTCGATGATTGTGTAAAAACACAATATTATCGGTAAACCAAAACAAAATGACCTGTTATTGATTGGTCCCTTTTAGGGTTGAAATTTCAGCACTGCCACGCCCATCATCTCCACAATAGATGTCCCTTTTAGGGGTCATTTTCACAATCTCCGCCGAGGACCCCCGCCCTTTGATATTAGGGAGTCCCCCCCCGGGGGTATTTATCCCAAATACCACTATCAAACATGCTATTACCTAAGGCATCTACTGGTCGTTTTTAACCATACCCATGACTTCAAAAGATAAAAGACCGCAGGCCATGTTGGATGAATGAACAATAGATACTAATGAGAAATCTTTTGTTGAAGTTTCTTAAAGATTGCCACTTTAGTGTAAACGAAGAATACTGATTACAATTAGTGTCATAACACAATCCAACAAATTGTCATTAGTCAAAAAACACGAACGTTTGATTGAATACTAGCATACAATGGTATACCAATTAGTTTTATATAATATTCAACAAAAACTTCAAATTGTAGGATTTTTAGACGATTATAAAAACAGCTGGCTAAAGGGCAAGCATTTAAGGTCACTATTGAGAACTTGTTGCTCAAGAGCAGCAGAACCGACTATYAAGGCTAACAAAATGCACGAAAGTRAATTTACACTAACAAAGTATCGTCATTAATGAACTGAGAATGTCGTATGATCAGGACACTGAATTTTACTATCGTAAGAGAGAAATTTAGCAATTCAAAAAATAGGAATTATACTTTATTTAAGCAAAATACTATGCKAAAGATAAAACGTTCTCTAAAKGTTGTATCTGTTGCTTTACCTTCGGTTGTTAGTGCAGCGAAGAGTAGCAGATAGCGATAAACGCATTTTCCTTTCATGCTGTAAAACGTTGGACGTCGTCAATCTGAAAAAAATACATACAATCAAATTCAAGAGAGGAATGAGTGTGGGTAATGCCCGGAAATATTATTTTATTTCTTAGATCAATAGTGACAATCATGAAATAATGATTATCTTTGTTTCTAAATAGCGCAAAACATCATTCATCTATGTTCTCATGGAATGGGAGCATATGATTTCCGTGTATATCATCTTGCTATCTGTAAAACATTGGCTATAAATCCAGCCAATTTGTCTATCAAAAATTCATTTGAAGAAAAGCAAGAATATTCATAATACAACCATAATAAGGACAGCCATTACCTTTAAGTATGCTAATAGAGTGACAATTTCCCCTTGCAGATACTTCTTCCAAAAAACCTGAAGGTTTAGTATCTGAAAGTAGCTACCTTATGTAATTACTGTACAAACGCAAAGCTACATTAGATTGTACGGAGGCTTACTTTATACCCCAGATCTGACATGCGCTGAACTCAGTGTTAATGAGCTGACATGAAAGGATTGGACCTCTGGTGTGGGTAAATTAGGTGTATTCATAAGTGAGATTTATATATTTTTTACATATGAAGCTTCTTATTACGTTAGTAGATTATAATCTCACAATKTAATGAGTCTGACTAGGACCAATCTTCAGAATTAACAATCAAGTAATTTGCACCGTCCATAGTCCAGATTGCAACATTGAAATGCGTGCAAATACAGTAAAAACCCGCGTATGAGAACAAGTGGATTAAAAACACCCAGGCCTGATTTTAGGAAATAWAGTACCATTTATATAGGGACACATTCAACCTGAAAGATGAAAGTTGTTTTTGTGTGGAAAAATATCAAGGATCAACACTTCTTTTCATTGCAAACATAACATATTATAATAGTTCTACCCCAATTATATGCCAACAAAATATTAAACAAAAAAAAAATATGTACTGTTATGTTGATTTCATCTATTAGTAGACTAGTATGTTCCTTATTTTTAGAAACGTTTTTTAAGAACACTTAAGAACACTTACAGGCTGATTTTGTAGATTATAACCTTTTATATAAGAACCAAATCAGCCTGGACTGCCAAAATAAGTGTTCTTATACGCGGGTTTTTGCTGTATTACGAGCTTTTGTTAAGATCTTGAACAATATCACTTTAGTGCATAGTAGTGAATTGTGATTTTATGGATGATTTGCTGATGGTAGACCTTGCCAGTCAAGGATTTGAACCAAAATACTTTGCACTGTACTTTCGCAATACTTGATCCAGATTTGAACGGTGACGTCCCGCTMGTACTTCTAAACCSTAACCCTATTTAATACGGCAAAATCGTGAAATTCCATACCCTATTCAAGACAAATTGGTAAAATGTAGACCCATATGCCGTGGTTTTTTCATGCCACAGCAGTTTTCTTTATTCACAAAGTCCATGCACACCATATGTCAAATACAACCATTAAACAAAATTTATTGATATAAATAACACACATATAAATAACATATAGGTTTTAGCAATAGACATTATGTTTGATACGCAATTCTTGCGTACGTAAGTTCCACCGAAAATATTCCCATCCTGTCGAGAGAAAACAGTCCGAATTTAGAAATGAAATTACAACCGGCCGGCGAGTTGTTAAAATCGACCAATGCATCTTGCAGACTTCTCGTAACATTGCCATGTGGTAAAACAAAATGTTTTAATTGAAAAATGTATTCAATTCTGTTGATTCCTGTTGACATATTGTTTTCTTACTTTAGTTAAACTTGTAGACAGATAATTGCCACTTGCTCCCTATTCCTCCCCAGCAACCGTCTCTGGAACCATACTTGTTGTAATCATTTGCAGCAATGGACTCATCTACTGAGTAGCATTCGCCGTAGAACTCGATTCCAAAGTACTTATAGGACATGTCACGTGCTACCTTAGCGCACTGGTCGACGGTCCTGTTTGGAAAATACCAATTGACTTGAGAACGCATGTACGCATATAACACAGGAAAAACCCGGATATCGTCTTTATCTCCATAGCATCCCAGAGATGTATATGATGGCAGAGGTTCTGGCAWAAAAATCAAATAATAATGGTTTAAAAAATGATATCGATACATCTTGCTTGAACAGGTCCTTGAAGTGCCGACTTCAATTGCATCAGTGCCGATATCCAATGCATTGCATTTGAAAGAGAACATCATTTTTTATTGTCATGCATTAATCACTTACCAAAAGTGTAAACAAAAAAATGCCCTGCTCTTCCAACACCATCTGCGCATTTTTCTTTGTTCACTCCATAAGCGTTAACTGTTGGATAAATTGTTTTGGTGTTTGGCCCAGAGTAACATATTCCGTTATTTCCAAGGGCAAAATACATGTAGCCTTTATTGTAAGCCAGAGAAGCACATTGATCGACAACATCTTTGGTATTGTCCCAAGTGATGGTGCTGGTAAAATCACCAAGGGTTTGTTCCAGTGGAATTGGATCAGCTTTGAAACACGCGATACCAAACATTTTTGGTACTAGTTCATAGAAAAAAAACACTAGAAAAATGCACAATATATATAATATTGATACTCCATGCTACTAGTGGGAAGTGAAGAAAGGGAAAAAATAGAATGTGGAGGACGTTGTAGAATCAGCTCAAATCARATATCACTAACCTGGACAGTTGACGGCAGTATCACAGCTCCTAGAAGTMGATGGTCTTGATTCTTGACTGCAAAGTTGTCTTGTAATGTTTAACTCCATTCCGTTATTGTTTATTTGTGTGCAAAGTACTTGCCTTGCAGCCACACCTTGTCCACATGTCACGGAGCACTGAAAATGAAAGTTATAACTTTTGTTGACACGCTGCACAGCCATTCAGCATAATCACTACCAATGGCCGACGTGATCTTACCTCTGACCATCTAAGAGCCTTCCACATTGGTGGGCAAGAAATCTTATTACATTCTCGATGGAAATCGGTCACATCAGGTTTTGTCTTGGCGTCACATTGACTATGGTRKAYTTCCAAGTATTTTGAAGGAGCAGTCATTTGTCGACATTTAAGTGTCCGTACTTGGGAACCACCGCCACATGTCCTAGAACACGGGGTCCATTTTGATAAGTGCCACCTTTTTTAAGTTGAAAATTAAGCATTAAAAAGAGAAGTCGAATAAAGAATGCATGAACAAATGAGACAATTAATAGAGATGTTGCTGGATTTTAGGTTAAAAGAAACATGAAAAAAAAAACAGCAATATTCATTCACCAATTTATTACTTACTCCTCTGGACAGGCATGTTTGTTACATTCTTTTTGTTTGATGGGCATTTCCGTTGCATTACAATACTGATCTCCAACGGTGGTATTGTCATCGGAACGATAGCAATGAATGTTACGAGTCTTGGTACCTATAGCAACACAATAAAATTGGAATTTAAGAACAATAAACAAAATTGAATGATATCAAGTAAGTATAACGTTRAAGATAGAAGGGTTGTCGCTGAGATCGGAAAGAAAGTCATGCTGCTTAGGGATATGAATCCAGAATTTTATCAGGGGTTTGTCCCCGATGAAGTATGTATATTATATATACTGTTATAATGAAATGAAGTAGRGCTTTCAAGATCTATGTACTCCCGTGTAGTCGTATAGGTGTTCAGTGCACCAATAGACATGTATCCCCTTTGTATGCGCCCCTACGAGTCTGCGTTTCTATAGCAACACCGCAGAATTTTGATATTCAGTTATTGCGAAAAAAATTTGAATCATTGTCAAACTATTCAATAGTATCTCATAGATTGAATTAGGCAAACATATATATCGACATGATATTCAAGACTTTACCTATTGCACATGACCGCGAACAGCTGGTCCATTCTGAGATTCTCCATGCAAAGCTTGGTGGCGGCTGTGAGACATTTGAAGGTGCGTTATATTTGTAGTCGACTCCTTCATTATCGCCGTAAAAATAAATGAACTACAAAGAAAGCAAATACAGTTGTAATACGATTTTCTCAATTTAGTGCTTAGTTTATGTGTAAAAAATTAAATGTGTTATAATGTTATGAATTTTTTAACAATTTCTTTGTGCTCGAAGAAGCTAGCTTACCATTTATCAAAAACTTGTGCTGGYGGATTCTAGCCTAGTCTCCTTTGCAGACTTAATTAATATCGGTCATACGTTCCCTTTCCARGTATTACCGATACTAATAACGTCTGCAAAGGAGGCTACTTCTKGCCTCAATAACTTACTTTAATAAAAAGCTCCTCATTGGTTGGTTGTCCTGAGATATCCAATGTGTCTTTAGTTACCGCTGACTCGTGAGTGTAAACTATCTTCGTTCCCTTGTGGTAGATAGTTTTGGAATAGGTTGGGAATTTGATCAGGAAGTTTCCTTTTGCATCTTGTATTCCTTTGATTTAGAGAGAAATAGTTAAGGTTAGATCTTCTTGTTTATAAAAGTTTGATTTACATTGTAAAGTTAGACCTATTTCAACCTGATATTATTCAACTTTTGACTAGCGAAGAATCCATGTGTCTCATTTTTTTCCTGTCCGGCTGTGTTCAATTGGCCGATAACAAAACGAAAAAGGGACTGGGTACGAACTTCTATAATCTAGTTAAATAATGGTTCCAGAAAAAATAACCCCATAATGTGAAAGAGCACCTTATAAAAGGCTTACTGACTAAGTTTCATGATGTTTGAACTTATAGCAATAAAGTTATGGACATTCAAACCATGCCAAAATTACAAAGAAATGTATGGTGTCCAGCCAAAGCGTCCAGCCAAACATACATTCTTTGTAATTTTCGAAATTTTAAAAAAATTTGTATTCCCAATTCTAATGACTTAAACTTGCTCAAACTTTAAAGTTTAGCTAATTTATATGTGCTTTATCTATCAACAACAGATTTCTGTAAGATTGTAGCACTTTTAAAATTTTCAGCCCCAGGCCCCTGCTCGTTCTGTTATCGGCTAATGTGAAAACTCACATATTAGCTTTACACTTAGATTCCTTCGCAGGCAACTCTACTCTGTGGGATTCCTGTGTTAAAGTGTTGTTCCTAATCTCTCGACATTAGTTCTTCTCGGTCAAGATTATGGACACAGGAAGACCAAGAAGAGAAAATAGTCCGTTTCCGTTGGAGTAGCCTGCGAATGAGACTACCTTACACTTTAGGACGATAAACCATATGGTCTTGAAATATCAAATTGTATTTTACCCAGCAAATTCCATGACTCTCCGCGTTGCTTGAAGTTCGCATTCGTAGTTCCTGTAGGRAGTACTGCGACAGTATCGGCGTTGTTTATACCTAAGAAATCAGATATGAAACAAAATATACCARGAGGCCATGAATACCATGAATGAATGCAACAATAATGTTAAAAATGCATGGAAAGATTTATATTGATGGATGGTTGGATGAATGGAGGGACAATTCATTTATTGTTATAATTTAGGAAGCATAATCAACATCATTTTGTCAAAAATTCATGCATTCATATTTAATTTATCCTTCAATGATAATATGATAATATCTTTATTTCAATCCTATCGCAGTGCCGAGGGAGAAAAACACTGAATTACAGGAAGAGCGAAACACTGATATTATACAATTAGGCAGGCTATTACATTACAAATACTTC